TGGCGACATACGCATTATTTCTCTCCTTCTTCGCCAACTGCTTCTCTCCTTCGCGAAGTTGCACCTGTAGTTCGTCCCGAGTGCAGATAAAGCTTTCTGTAATTGTATTCGTAGGCGCTCATGCTTTCGTTGTCCGCCAATGGGTGTGATTCGAATGGTCTTTTCATTGGAGAGTCATCGTTCATTTGACCATAGATCTTACATAGTATGTGCGTCTTATGATGAATCCGAATTAGATAAACTATGCTATCCGATCGGACTAATAAAAAGAGAAATAGTACACCTAAAATTCAGACAAAAGGCTAAGTAAGTTGGAGCAGTACTCTGATCTGCAAAATACTTAAGCAAAGTTGACCAAAGTTTAACAAATGCAGAACCTACAACCTGTTATGTAAGTGAAGAAGGAACATTTTCGATTTTTTATCGGAAAGTTGTCAAGTGTGGTCCCATATTTGGTTTAGTTCTGATTATTGGAACATGAAGAAATTAACGGTACTCCTATATAAGCATTGAAGTCAGTTGTATTTTTTTTTGCTTAAACATTACTTGTAAAAATTTAATATATCCGGGCGCGGGTATACAAGAAAATGCCGGTTGGGTCGGCATGCTTTGGTAAATTATACGTGTATTAATAATCCCATCTCGTCACTTTATAAAGCTTTTAAATCTATTTATTTAAGGAGTATGCAAAACTTGTTAACTGAAAATTATAAATAAGTTATAAATTTCCTTGACGTACATATACAAACATACATACATACAAACATACATATGTATGGGAAAAAATGCTCGTAAATATTTGAATTCCTGTTTCAAATGAAGCATCATACAAACAAATCCAAAACACTTGTTAAAATAACATCAGCTACGACAACGTGCGTACATACATACTTAAATATGTATTGGCAGCAGCAATAAAAAATAAACGGCTTTAATATAAAAAAGTATAATAATCAACGGTTGGGAGCATTTTTGTAGTTTTGCTTCGCTGCGTAAAAACGCGCTTGACCAGAAATTGCGGCGCAAATGGGTAAAACGGCATAACATGTGCGCCAGCGACAGTGCAAATACAGTGTTTTTTTTTTTACAGTACATATAACCACCCAGTAGTTAACGCCCGGACACATACACACACAATTTGCTGAAGCAACGGTGGGCATATGGAATTAAATTTTTGAAACTTACTAGAAACTTAACCAATGCGCGTTTACAAAAATTTTGTGATTCACAAGCGAACAGTTCATTTGATGTTTGACGTCATTAGTTTTACTTATTTCGTTGAATTTCTTCGACTGCAAAACAAATTATCTCTCCATGATATTTTAAAGAAATTACGTTATTTTTGTGAGAACTAAATTTGCAGAAAAACTACGCGTAGTGTTGAGGAAATTAAAAAAAATTAACACCATATCCTCTAGAATATTCTTTAGAGCTCTGTTTGCATTTGTTTGTGTATTTTCAGCTGATTTGATTTTAATTAATAAGTATTTTCTATTTACATCGTCAGACAATCAGCTAGAGTTATGTATGTATAAAAACTTTCGCAAAAACTATGAAACATGTAAATAATTACAAAAATACTTACAGTGGCGGTCAAAAGTGGATGGATTGTGCTTTGTTTTTGATATTTACAATGTTTTCCAAGCAAAATTTTTTTTGATATTTTTTTATAAAAACATGCTTCATGCTTTAACAAAAACCATATAAATCACACTTTCAAACTTTATACAGACTTTAGACATATTTTGGGTATGCAGTTAATAGGCTTATACAATTTTATTAAATTAAGAAGAAGTCTTGAACAGATGAAAAATCGCATTGATTTTTAAAATTAGTTTTTTTTTTTTGCAGACGACTTTTGCGGTTTTTACATACCAAAAAAAAAAATTCTAAAAATTCCAGTTAAAAAGCTCGAAATTTAGATAAAAATTTGTGGAATTTTTAAAAATTCTGTATTACGTTTAAAAGTGTGATTTGTATGGTTTTTTGTAAAGCATGAAAAATTAGCTTGAAAAACATAGTAAATATTAAAAACGAACCCCATTCATTCACTTTTGACCGCCAGTGTATGTAGGTGTGTATGTAAAAATGTTTACTTACTTATTTAATTGCTGAGGACTGTGAACCTTTGCTTGCTTTTGATATATACATACATGCATACATGTGGACATACATACATAAATTCTACATTGAAAGTATATTAATTTTTTTGACAGTGTTTTTAAGAATTTAATGAATAATAATGGCTGTGATATCAATTAAAACTTAATTAATATATTTGTTGTTTACGATAGAATGAATTGCGCCGATGTCTAAAGAGCAATTCTGAAATTAATTTTTTGAAGTAGATCAAGAAGGAAATCGTTTTAAATTGTAATTATCATTCCTAGGTTAAAAAAAAACAAACTGATTTCTAAAAGCTCTAATACGGAAATTTTCATAGAAAAAACAGTACTAAAATACTAAAAAGTACAAGACTTATTAAGTATGAGTCATATTTATTTACGATTGTTTAAAAAAAATCCCATTTAGCACGTGTTGTGGTTATACAAACATACATACATACCAGTACATATGTATGCACTACAAATATATTAAACAGTAGCAAAAATATTTGTACGTAATTTTCTGGTTTAGCGATGACCATTACTTGGTTTATGCCGTGGGATTACCTGATTTAATCGCGTTGTGTTTTATCGCATACCAGCACGTTTTGATATTTGAAATTTAAAATCCAACTTACTTATATTTAATAGTAAACAAGTACAGAACTTTACATACCCGGCACACACACAGTGACGCACTAAATTATTGGCACATTGAGAATTTTTCACAATACATATGTGCAAAATTTTTTACTTTTATTTTTTTCCACTGCTTTTTTATGAAAATATAATTCATACTACAACAAAAAAATAGAAATTTGTTCTCTCAACTTTGTATAAAACTCAGGAAAATTTAATAAATTTGCATACAAGTTAGCAACATTTTAGTCAGATTTTATTCAAAAATTTCTAAGTGTGTAGTTTTATAGCTCATTTATTTTTGAAGTTGGTTAAAATTCGCCTTGATTCTTGGCAATTTTTTCACCAAATTTCTTCCATACAAATTATGTGTGTAAATATTTTTTGTTTGGAAAAAATTGCGTGAAAGATATTGACAAAAATCAAAGCGAATCTGCTATAAAACAATATACTTAGAATTTTTATGGAAAATCTGATTAAACATTCGCAAACTTGTATGCAAATTTATAAAATTTTCCTTAGTTTTGCACAAAGTTGAGAGATTTTATTTTTAGGGTTTTGTTGTAGTATGAACTATACTTTTATAAAAAATTAGAGGAAAAAAATTTAAGTAAAAAATTGTGCATATATTGTGAGAACTTTCATGCGCCGATAATTTAATGTGGCACTGTAAGTATTCATGATCTGCATTAATTTTTTAGCATTTCTCAAAACTATCGTTATGAAGAATTCAGTCATGTTGATGCACATAATTACTCTAAATATATACATACATAAGCGAGTCCCAGAACGTAAGGGGGATATTTTTTTATATTGCTGTAGGATCACTTAACCCATGCCACTTGTAGCTGCATTCCTATCTGAATTGATATACATAACTTAGGTAGGAAATGAAAAATATCGCCAAGTGAGTTCTTATACTGAGAAAATTTTTATCTGACGGTTTAATATATTCTACACGTCGTTAATGAGTATGATCGACTTGCCAAGGACCAAGCCAGCCTCTAGGCAATCTACGAACTCATGGACGAGATCCAGACTTACTTCGCACCACCACTGGCCCCAACATTGTACTGACAAACTGTTGCCCCATGAATGCCGTCATATAGTTCAACCATCTCCCATTGTAGATGAAGAGCTTCAGCAGCATCGGGAAACCCCTTGTATATGTATGTAAATATATAGATATGTATGTAAATATGTAGGTATAAAGGCAACCATTACGACAAGAACCAATTCTTCACTTGCTTCCATTAAAACCATTTAGCTAACAGCACTCTACCGTTAAACGGCAAGTTCCCGGGGCCTACTGTTATTTGAAATGGACAACAACGGTTCATGGACTAGCCGATTCAGAAGGCGCTTGGTAGCTCTGCTATAGCAAGAATAACAAACGTCCAGGCTTCACAGACGACTGTAATGAAGAAGGCAGATTTCGCAAGCCGCAATGGAAATGAAATAAGCCGCATTCGCAAAGTTACAACTGAAGTGAGATAACCCGTAGGCGTAGAGCTAATTGCCTGTTACGGTAGCTGTTAGATGATGGAGCTGTAGCCAAGATCCGCCTAAAGTTCTACATATGAAACGCTTTGTTGAAACCGAAGACCGACCGTAATATGGATGTCTTCTTGCACTTACTTGAAACGGGTAAATAATTGGTGTAAAATACCCTGTAGAGAAAAACTAAAAATGCCCCGAATGAAATTGTTATCCCTTAATGTCATTGATAAACTAATAATTTAATAATACTAAATTATCTAATTAATAAATTAATACGCTCCATCTCCAATGTGTCTACCATAAACATGCCGATTGTTTGTGCGGAATTAAAATTTTACTGGCGTATTCTGTGTTAGCTATTAATAACAAATAAGATCTAGAGGTGCTCGTGCCTTGCATGCACATACTGCCCATTAATTAAGTTTATAACATAATAAATTTTAGTTTTTTTTTTGTAAATATTCGCGGGAACACACGTGATTGCATGCAACGCAGTCATCTATTGACTGCAAGTTTTTTTTTTGATTGCGCTGTGACCCTGCATTGCCTTTTTTTGCTTAATGAAATGGTCATAAAATTTTATTTATACGAGATAGAATTGTTTAAAAGCATAAATTGTTGCATTTTCGCGATTCGACTTCCTAGAATATTTGCAAAACCATATAAGCATAAATAAAAGGCTTTGCGTGACACATAAACATTTATGTGAGAGCTCACATACATACATACATACATAACATGCAATTCTCTACTTACCTATCGTTCTGATAGATTTCCACGGATGAATTCAATTCAGCCAATTGCTCTTTCAGTAACTGCAAATTCGAATTGACGAAACTCAGTTCTAAGGCGACTGTGTCGCGCAGCTTGCGATTTGTTGTGGCCTGAAAAAAAGATAAATAAATAAAGGATTTGAGATATTTTCTTGTCTTGCAAAGCAGCTGAATTAGATTGCCACAAAATGTATATTGATATGTACATGCATATGTTTGCTTATGGGTAGTACTTACTTTGAAAAGGTTTTCAGCACCAGCGCGCAGTCGCAGCTCCTTATTGATTTCCTGATTTAATTTGCAGCGACGACTCTGCAACTTGCCTCGACATGTGGCCGCACGCGGATCGGAACCCTGCAAAAGCAAAGAACAAAAATTACGAAATTAGGATGTTAGTCATCATACTGTGCGTATAAAAATAAAAATTGTTTTCTATGCTTTCCGCATACGCATAGTACAGTAAAATTAGAACAAAAATTGGCGATTTCTAGATTTCGCCATATAAAAACACCCTCACCGCCTTCTTGATATGTCATAAAAACTGCCAGTTTTGTTTGTATGTGTCTTCCTAATGCCTTATGCCTGATAGCTGCTAGTTGAGGGCGTTCGCAAAGAAAATTTTGAATGCTTTCTTTGCTACTTTCTACTTGGTTGACAGATGCGGTAAGGTCTATTATATGGCAACCCCATTCGATCGCATGTTTGCCTATCGGCCAGTGACCAGTGCTACAATTCTAAATAATTCTGTCCTTGCTCTATTTTGCAAGTCTATATACCCGAAGGTATTTAAGAGTTATTAAATACTAAACCAAATTTAATTTATGTTTCTAGGAGATGGTATACACCAAAACGCTCTAGTATTTGAGGGTTCTAAACACTAGAGTACGTACTATGGTTTAGTAGATTTCTTAATACATAGGTAATCTTTGCTTTTTTATATGAAACATACTTATGTACTAGGTACATATATTGAAATGCTTCGTGATTTCGGGATTTTCAGAAACTTTTCAAGAATTTCTCCGGATGCTTTGGATTTTTCGGGATTCTTCGTGTTTTATTAGTCGAATTTTTTAAGAACTGTAGCGTTTTTTTCGAGACTTTTCTCTATTTTTTTTGACTTTTGTTTCATATTTATCGGCATCTTTCAGGGCTTTTCGGCGCTTTTATATACAAGTACATAAACATACAGATGTATAGATATTTACTTAAATAAAAATGTTATGTTTGCTTAAACGTCCAGATGACCACTAGTGCCAGCTGGCTAACATGATGAGCAACACAAAATATCATACCAAGCTAAACTAGTTAGTAAAAGTGCATGAATATAATGACTACAAAATCCACAATGCAATCGAAAAGCGCTAAAAAATTAACTGCAGTAGTAACAGCAGCTGCAGCAATTGTGTCAGCAACTACGAAACAACAATAACACTATCAAAGTCATACTGAACTTACATCGCTACCTAACAACAAAAGAACAGAGTGGGAGCCATTGACTGACGAATGCCATCGATGGCATGCAAATGGCAACCAACGACAGCGGCGACACTGAAAGCAAAACGGGTCGCGCTATACAAATATGTACATTAGGATGGCCCAAAAATGCATGTAAAAAAAGTAAAGTCGGAATTTTAATGCTCTCATCCCCTAGGATTGTTCTATATCGAAAAAAGTGTACCCCTATTTTTATTTTTATTTTGAAATTAATAAATGTTTAGAGGTCACTCAAAGCACTCAAAGTTTTCCATGTATTTTATGTGGGAGGCAACCACTTTTCGTAGAGATGGTATAGAATTCTTAAAAATCAATAGCTTTCGATCTGTTTCTCTGCAGGAGATTCCCTGTAAAAATACCCAATTGTTTATTTAATAATTTTTTCATAATAACAATAATATATAAAAATACAATGGGGGGGACCAATAAAAAATCGTTGGTATTAAAAAATGGTTAATTAAACAATTGGGTATTACTATTGAAAGTCTCTTGAAGAGAACCCCATATAAAATACATCTAAAACTTTGAGCGCTTTGAGCGACCTCTTAACATTTTTTGATTTCAAAATAAAATAAATAATATAAAAAAAAACTTTTTAATATACAACGCTTTTATAAATGGACTAAAAAGTAGAAAATAATATTTCTCAGTCCCATAGAATTTGTTTTGATAACTTTTGATTTTGAAATTTTAGCAAAAGTCATTATAAACAATCTATGAAATTGAAAATGAAAAACGTGGAGCGCATGCAATACAAAGCATTCGATTTAATTGACCATAGTCAAACTACATAACGTAGACCTAAAATTTCTACAGCGAAAGTAGAACTTTGAAATCGATTTTAAGCGGTCGTTATTCATATACCCACATACATACATACATATATTACTTTCATATCAATTCAAGTGTATTACATGCGCCCCACGCTTTTCATTTTCAATTTCATAGATTGTTTATAATGACTTTTGCTAAAATTTCAAAATCAAAAGTTATCAAAACAAATTCTATGGGACTGAGAAATATTATTTTCTACTTTTTAGTCCATTTATAAAAGCGTTGTATATTAAAAAGTTTTTTTTATATTATTTATTTTCTACTTTTTAGTCCTGTCTGAATAAAAGTTTGCAATAGATATTAAAATAATTCAACGATATTAATAGAAAGGTGCACACACATGCATTTACATATGTATGTACATACAAACGAGCACCAATTAATTTTATTTTAAGAAATGGCGTGTCGTCTATTTCCGCTGTAGCAAACGTACTACATAGGGCGACATCTAGATGTCATCTACCTCGCCCTATTCACTACAGCTGTCGCCCTATGCACTATGCTTTTGTATAGGAACTTTTCAATGCTTTGCTTTGGTGTCGGACACACAACATTGAAAGTTTCTGGATCCACAACATTGAAAGTTTCTGGACGCACAACATTGCAAGTTGATAAAAGCGTTGTAATATAGGGCTATACCTTTTTCGATATAGAACAATCCTAGGGGGTGAGAGCAATAAAATTCCCGCCTTACTCCTTTTGGACCACCCTATTGAAAATACCTACATACATATGTATGTACACAGATAATAGCAACAATATAGCCAAGTGTAAACTAACAAGCCACAACTGACAATTGTGAACAGCAGGCAGGGTTGCCAACTTGCATCAAACTGTGCCATTTCTGGCCCTATTTTACTTCAAATGGCACTTAATTTTTCAATTTTGCACAAATTGTCAAAATGGCACTCTTGAAAAAAGTAATATTTCTATAAATTTTTGTGAAATCCATTGCGTGTACTTCTTTTTCTCAACTAAAATTTTCTAATTTCTTTAGTGTTTACAACTGGCTTATCTTACCTGGGTATTGGACTTTTGTTTTGGGAATGTGTTTCTAATTTTAATGCTAGATAAGGGGAATTTAAAAGAATAACACCTTTTTTTGGCACTTTTATTTTTCTATTTGGCACATTTTGGCACTTTTTTTATCCTTAATATAGCACTTCAAAGCTAAGTATAGTTGGCAGCCCTGTCAGCAAGCAAACCATGAAAATCACTAAACCGATTTTGGTAGTAGGTAAAGTAAATAGAATAACAATAGCAACAAATAGTTGATTGGCGCGAGCACAAATAAAATGTAGCTTATTCGACATACATACATATATACATACGTACCAGTTTTATTGTTGGCATGGTGGCTTGTTAAAAGTTGGCGGCAAGACACCAAAAACTTCAGTTCAGAACACAAAAAAAGGTTGTTGACATTACACAAAAATATTGTTGCCGCGATTTTTGGTAAAGTGATGTTTGCGCACTGAGTATGTATGTATGTATAGCAGAAATACATTCGGGAGGAGCGATCGTTATGTATGTATGTATGTATGTACATATTGGAAACACAATTTTCAAACAGCAATAAAATTATTTTGACCAATTTATAATATTTTGTACTAAACCGTTCAATTTATGCTGAGTTCTTGACAGATCCTTACAAATGGAAACGAATTTTTTTCGACCAGTTTAATTTAAGCTCAATTTTTGTTGTTTTTGAAATCAGCTTGCATTTATGTCGATTTCTTCAAACATGCATAAGTATATTAAACTCCAAAAACCGAAATAAAAATTCGACTAGTTTTTGCCAGTTTCAGTCAAATTCTAAAATGTTTGCTGATTTTTATGTCTACAAATTATTTAATGCCAAAACTAAAATTTTCGACTAGTTTCAGTTAACATCAGTATATTGATTTTCATACCGATTTTGAATATGTGCATATGTCTATATGTATATGCTAATTACTGCATGAAATTTTTATACCCGAGCGCACTTGTGCACAAGGGTATATTAATTTTGTTCACATAACGGTTGTTTGTAACAGCCAAAACGAATCGAGATAGATATAGACAAATGTATACATAAATGATCAGGATGAAAAAAGAAATCGATTAAGCCATGTCTGTCTGTCCGTCCGTCTGTCCGTCTGTCCGTCTGTCCGTGTACACGATAACTCGAGCAAAAATTGAGATATCTTAACGAAATTTGGTATGTAGGTTTCCCTTAATCCAAGGTAGGTTGGTATTGAAAATGGGCGAAATCGGACTTTAACCACGCCCACTTCCCATATAACGGTAATTTCCAGAAATACGAAAACTGCGATATTTTAGTAACTACTAAAGATAATTCACTCAAAATTGATATTTATAATAAGTTTTAGACGAAAAATAAGAATATTATAAATTTTTGGAAAATGGGCGTAGCCACGCCCACTTATGGTTATATGTGTATATCTTGGTAACCGCTGCACCAATTTCTTCCAAACTTGGCACAGTTGTTGGCCTTCGCACACCATACTAAACGGCCGAAAATTTTTAAAATCGCTCAATAACCACGCCTACTTCCCATATAACGGTAATTTTCAGAAATACGAAAACTGCGATATTTTAGTAACTACTGGAGATTATTCGCTCAAAATTGATATTTACAATAATTTTTCGACGAAAAATAAGAATATTATAAATTTTTGGAAAATGGGCGTAGCCACGCCCACTTATGGTTACATGTGTATATCTTGGTAACCGCTGCACCAATTTCTTCCAAACTTGGCACAGTTGTTGGCCCTGGTACAGCATAAAAAATCGCCGAAACTTTTTAAAATCGGACAATAACCACGCCCACATCCCATATAACGGTAATTTAGAGAAATACAAAATCTTCGATAAATCAGTAAATATTGAAGCTAATTTATTCAAAATTGATACTTGCAACAATTCTTTACCAAGAAATACGTTTATGGTAAAATTTTGGAAAATGGGCATGGCACCGCCCACTTATGATCACATATATGTATAGCGGTAACCGTTCTACCAAT